TGTCCCTTTTACATCGATGTTTCTCTCTCTCTCTCTCTCTCTCCCTCTCTCTCCCTCCCACTCTACCTGAACAACAACAAAAAAAAATGGAAAAAATGTCCTTGGGTGAGGATAAAAAAAAATAAATAAAAAAATAAAACAGGATGCTAATCCCTTCTGTAGTGAGGATTTAATAGAGGGGTACATGTGAAGTCTTGGGTACTGAATCTGGCTCAGAGTATATAGATGGGGATGGGAGCTGTTACTACTATTCAGGGGTTATCTTCAATCAAAGGAGATGAAGGACAAGAAACACTTTGTAGGCATTAAAGTACAACACAAATGCCATGGATGATTATTCTCTTGTATCTACTCTCAGAGCATGGTTTCTTCTACCCTCAGAGGAAGAGTCCTGAGGGAATCCAACCTTTACTCAGGATCAGGTGCTGTTCTGTTTACCTTTTGACATTTTTGGCCTCCCAAGTTCATTTTCAGTTTCTGCCTGGCTTCCTGGGCTAGGGCACTCTAAGCAACTATATGGAGAGTCTGCTCATCAAGTGGTCCAGGATCTGAGGGGAAGTTTTGGTGATACAGATGTGGGTGGACCTTAATTTAGCTCTGGTTTTGCCTATTCCTTGGTGACCTGTTGGTAATAGTCATTACTGGAAATGTGGAAAGGGTTTCAGGAGAGGACAATGGCTGTGCTTCCTGGCATAAGGTACCCTGGCTTGACATTCTCTTGGCTTCAGAACCAAGGACTTAGAGTTTGGTAGCATTGGCACAGGCAATGCAAATAATACCTGCTAATAGTTACTGACTGCTTATTATAGGCCAGGCTCTCCACTGAGTGCTTTATATACCTTTACATTGAAACCTAACAACCCTGGGAGGTAGGTACAATCATTATCTCCCTGTTACAGATGAGAAAATTGAGACCTGTAAAGTAACTTGCCTAGGGTTATGTTTCTGGTAAATATATTTGGACTCTGATCTCTCTGATTTAAGAATGTGAGCTCTTTTCATTGTTCTACGTGGCCTTTGCATTTAGCTGTGCATTAGAGTCACCTATGAAGGTCATTGAAATTAAATTCTTGCTCCTGCCCTGGCAGGTTTGGCTCAGCAGTTAGATCGTCAGCCTGCGGTTCAGAGAAACCCGGGTTCAGTTCCCACTAAGGGCACGTACCTCAGTTGCAGTTTGTCCCTGGCCCTGGTTGGTCGTGCAGGTGGCAGCCACTCGATGTGTCTCTCTCACATTGATGTTTCTCTCTCTCTCTCTTCTTATCTCTCTCCCACTCTATCTGAGCAAAAAATGGAAAAATGTCCTCGGGTGAGGATAAAAATAAATAAATAAATAAAAGGGAGTCATCTTCTTTAAAAAAAAAAAAAATTCTTGCTCCTTGAGCCTTAACTCTGTAGGTGTGAGATGGTGCCTGGCACTGTAGTGTTTTCATTTTCCCAGATTTATTTAGGTAAAATTTACATGAAATAAAATTCACCCATTTCATCCAGTTTGATGAAATGTAACAGTTGTGTACAATTGTGTATCACCCCATTCATGACATGAAACATTTCCATAACCCTAGAGTTTCTTGTGTCTTTTGATCCCCTGACACCTACAATATTTATCTGCTGGTCAGATGGTTCTGCCGCAAAGCTAGGTGTGGGACCACGGTACTGTGCTATGGTGCTTGCAGATGTGGGGAACTGCAATCCTGGAGAAGAAAGATAAAAGCAAGAAAATAATAAAAAAAAAAAAAAACTTAAAAGGAAGAAGGAGACCTGGAGAATATTATGCTAAGTGAAATAAGTCAGTTAGAAAAAGACAACCATATGATTTCACTTATATGTAGAAAATAATGAACAAAATAAACTAACAAACAAAATAGAAACAGACTTATAGATACAGAGAACAGAGTGACAGCTATCACAGGGGAGGGGGTTGGGGGACTGGGTGATAAAGGTGAAGGGATTAAGCAAAACAAACAAAAAACCTCATAGGTAACAGTGTGGTGATTACCAGAGGGAAAGGGAGGTGGAAGAGGTAGAAAAGAGCAAATGGGGGATAAATGGTAATGGAAGGAGACTTGATTTGAGCTGGTGAACACACAATACAATATACAGATAATGTATTATAGAATTGTACTCCTGAAACCTATATAATTTTATTAACCATTGTCACCCCAATAAATTCAATTAAAAAAAAAAGGAAGAATGATTGGTCTTCTAACTCTCTCCAGACAAGCTATGCTGTACTGACTACTTGTGGCGAGATAGAGTGTGGGGAAGAGAACTTTCTAGACCAAACGCACTTAACAACAAAATTTCTTCTCCTAACATTGTTTCTTCCTGAACCGCATCCAGCTGAAGGATTCTGAACAAACTTGATGTAAATGGCTGGGTAAATTGCTTTGAGACAGAGAGGTGGGGCCACTAGGTACTATTGGAAGCTGTGGGAGGAGGCTTGGGTATGGGAAGGAGGGTTAGGTGCGAGGTAAGGCACTACTGCTAGGCTTCCGAGCGTGGACCTCTTCCTCCAGGCAGACATTATGGTTCCTTCAACTTCCCTCTACTGCAAGAATTCAATAGCAACTCTTCTTAATCTGAAGTCCATTCAGGAAGGTTACCCTAACAGGAGTAGGGAACCTTTTTTCTGCCAAGGGCCATTTGGATGTTTATAATATCCTTCAAAGGCCTAACAAAATTATCAACTTAAAAATTAGCCTGCTATATTTGGTCAGGCTAATTTGGCAAGGCTGTGTGATGTTAGTTAGCTGCTATTGATTTCATAGACCTTATATGGCCTTCCAGACGTTCCCCACCACTGCAGAGCAAACAAGTTCAGGTTGTGGCCCAGAGAACATTTGGATAGTAAGGTAGAAAATATAAACCATAGTTCTAACTAGAGAAGATTAGGGAGGGAATTTTGTGCCAACAGTCTGGAGAATAATTCTTGGCTCAGCTCTGGCCTGGTTTTACTAGATAGCTTTTTCTTGATAACCTTCTCTGAGCTGTCTCTGTCCTACATACTTCTGTGGATAGAGTGAGTGGTGAATAAAGTGTGTAGGTGGTGGTAGTATGGTTTCAACACAAACACTGTAGTGATGGTTAGCATGACAAAAGTAGATTGCAAAGAAAATTCTCTAAAATTTTAAACTGCCTCTCAATAGTTGTATATTGAAACCTGAGTATGTTCAGCCCTTGTGAATTTCCTTTTCTGGCCGTTTTTATTTCCTTTCTCCAGTTTGTTAGATGTGACATTTCCCGTTTCCTGTATGGTGAAGCTGTGAATGAGGGTATGAAGTTGTAAGAGAGAGACTCATCTTATTTTTATGTCCTTTTTATGAATCACCCAGTTGTCTTCCTGGTGGATGTTTGCACTTTGGCATGGATTCTGGGATTCAGTTTCCTTATTTGTGATGTTCAGCCACTCCTGGACCTTGTGATTTACCTCTAGAGGAAATATCTGGAGTAGAGCCATAAGAGTGATTAGAGGAGGAAGGGACAGAGAGGGCGAAAGATGCGAGGAATATTGTGAAAGGAAGAAGTGGTGATACAGGACTGTAGGGTGTAAATAAGACCACCTAGGTCTCTTCTCATTTGAGAAAGAGTGAATTTGGGTAATGGCCTAATCTAAGAGGACACTGAAGTGTCAGGAGATAAGCTTCGAGAATAACATGCTAGCCAGTTTGAGTATAACAGACTATATGAAGTTTAAGTTACTCTTAGTTTATATTACCTCAGTGCCCCCCCCACACCTTGGTTTCAGGGCTTTGTAGCAGTGAAGAAACTTGAGAGGCCCAAATTATACAATAATAGATTTATTGAGCATCTCGTATTATCCCCCACACAAAATTAGAGAAATTAAAATTTCTCCTTAAGCAATCTCAGATTACACTAATGAGAAGAAAAATGGGACATTAAGACATTTTTTTGACTTGTGATTTTAAAGCTGAAAGGGACTCTAGAGATTGTCTGGTCTCATCCTGAGATGATGGATTGAGGTCCATAGTGAGGAAAAGACTTGCTGAAAGTCACTCAGATAGCTAGTGGTAGTAGGGATCCTGAGAAGCACAGGTGTGACGTGGAGGGTCCCAGAATAGAGATGCCCATGTATGATTTACTGAGACATTAGGGAAGCTTCTAAACCCGTTTTTGTGCCTAATCATCAGGGGTTGATTGCCTGAGTTACCTCTAAGCTTCTTGGCTGTGGCTAGGTCACAGACTGGCCTTCTGTCTTCCCCAAGATTATGTTTTAGAGTTAACTGAGTCTAAATTGAGTCTCAGCAGCTGGAGATAACAGGGTGTGAGATACTTAGGCTGGAGATGGAAAGTCAGTGGGAGACATAGTAGTTAGAGCCACAGCTTAGTCAAATTTCAGGAAGATATTTGAGGTTTGTACTATTAAACTTAGTGTCTTGCAGTAAAATAGGGTTTGTTTCAGTTTCACCTGTTTCTACCAGTTTCCTTTTCTAATTTCTCTGCATTCTTCTCAGTGCTGTCAGGCTCTTTCCCGCTAACTACTCTCTATCAGACTCTCAGAACTAGTGTAGATTTTTGGGAGAAGAAATTGGAACGTGAGCTGTGACCTACAAGTCAATTTCCCCAGGTGGATAAACTCCTCTGCAAGCCACAGAGGGAGGGGCCTCCTCATTCCAGCAATCTGGCCAGGCTGACAGACTCATAGCCTATGGGGGCAGGGGAGGAGGTAGGGGGGAGTATTTCTTGGGCTGGTGAGGAACTGCCGAGCCTTTGCAGTGTAGGTAGAGGAGACAGGAGCCTTTGGGGTGGGCTAGTCGCCTGAGCTGGGGATGCCTGGCCAGATGTGGAGACAGCTGGAAAGGTGGCACCGCAGTTGGGTCGCTGGAGCTGCGCTGTTCCTAGGAGACGGAGGAGCAGCAAGCCTGAGGGGGAGGGGGAGCAAGTGGGTTGCTGCTTTTAGCAGCTGAAAGGGCTGCAGGGAGCTCTGGGTAAGACATTTTCTGCTGTTGCTGCTTCTGCGGTACGCTAGTAAGTCAGAGGAAGGAGGATCGAGAGGGAGGAGGCTTCATTTGCAGCCATGCTGAATCACTGTTGCTGATCAGATCTCCTGCTGGTTGGCTGCGAGAACTGAGAACAGAGCTAGGATCTCTGGGTGCATGCACAATTCAGCAGCTGCCACCCCCGCTGGGCCTCGCACAATGGAGGGTGAAAGGTATGTATGTACAAGTGTGTTTTGAGTGTGTGCGTGTGTGTAAGTGAATGTGTGCTCCTGCGGCAGCTACCAGCTTTTGTGTTTGCGTTAGCTAGGCAGGGTCGGAAGACCTGGCCACTGATGGATCCCAATGGGAGGCCGAATAGAGTAGGGAAGCCCCTTTCTCCAGTAATCTAGTTTCCACAAAGGCAGGTCTGGATTTGCTGGGCAGCAGAGCACCCTGAAAGAGGGACTTCCTGGCTGGTGTTTGGGAATTGTTTCAGCATGGGCTGAATCAGGATTGCCTTTCTTAAGCCGTTTTAAGGAGGCATTTTCCTTTCCTGGCTACTTTCCCGGGGTATTTTTTATTTGGTGGTTTTTTTTTGTTTTTGTTTTTAATGTTATAGCAGGGCTGGCCTGGCATAGAGTGATTGCATTTTCACACCGAAGTGCTCAAATCTTCAGCAACCATGCCATGGTGATGTCTTTCCTAAAAGTGTGCGAGTACATGTGCGTGTGCACGTGTGCACGTGTGAGTGTGTGCCTGTATACGCACACAAATTCAGGTAAGAAGGAGAGAAACCTATCAGATGACACTTGCTCTGATCTGACTTTCATTTGCATTGAAAAGTTTATAAATGATATTGGAAGGTGTGCTTAAGAGGAGCTTTTGCTTCTTCCACTAGGGGTTTCTTATGAAATAGGAATCAGCAAAAGGGAATTTAAGTACTTTTGTCAAGCTGGATCTAACTAGCAAGGATTTATTTCCTGGCAGGCACATGCATATACATTTTAAACTATTATTTGAGGATCCGATTCTTTCATTGTGAAGGTGCTCAGTGCAGTGCAGGGGCGGGTCAAGCCTCTGTGGGCTAAAACATCTCATGTTGTGCCAGCCTCATTCTGTGGATCTGCGGCGAGTAGAGAAAAAGGCTTGCCATTTTCCTCTAGGCGAGAAGACAGCAGGGAGGGGTCAGGCCATGGAAGTGCACCATTGAGGGGAGGGCTACTGCTTTGAGTTGCCAGTTTGATGCAGATGGTAACTGGCTGGTTAAATGATAACAGGTTTAACTAAGCCAAGGCTGTTTGGAGAGTACCTCAATAAACACTTTCCTTTGCACAGATTGCCCCAACTCTTGCATCTCATGGTGCAGAGTGATGTCATTAAACATCTCTGGACCTCATCAGAACTGGCATGATTTTTGGGTGTCCTCTTGTCTGAACAGGTCCCAGGGACTGGTTTTCTTTTTTGTTGTTATTGTTAATCCTCACCCGAGGTTTTTCCATTGATTTTTTTTCTTTTTTAAGAGTGGAATGGTGGGGAGGGAGGAAAAGAGAATCACCAATGTGAGGGAGACATATATATCTGTTACATCCCGCATACACCCCTCCCAGGCACATACCTGGGTTGCAGGGGCCAGGGATTGAACCTGTAGCCCAAGTATGAGCCCTTGACCCGGAGTTGAACCCAGGACCCTTTGGTGCAGGGACCAGTGCTTTAACCACTGAGCAACACCAGCCAGGGCAAGACTGTGTTTCTTGATGTGACTTCCACAGGAAGAGTCTGGGACTTTTTACACAGTACACTGCTGGTGCAGTTTCTCACTGGATGCTCTTTACAGCAGGAGCTTAGTGTTGGACTCCATGTGGACTTAGGGCAGAGATGGGCAGTGCCTGCACCTTTCCTATTGGTACAGTGTTTAGAAGAAGGGTAGAGGTGATGTGAATGGAGGTTTAGAGATTCTGGACCAGGCCTGTTTTCTTGACCCAGATTATAATGGGGCTGAAAGGTCTGTGTCAGACTAGCAGCAGCAGATCAGACTACTGCTTCCCAAGCATTTTGGGGCACCTAATATGTTCCCAGTACTGTATTCAGAAATGTAATGAGTCTGTGCTCTCTTGTTCTTCATTGCTTGGGTGCCTGTCAGCTGGTATGGCTGATGTCGTTTACTTTGTAACACCTGGTTTTTGCATATGTTCTTTTGCTTTTCCCTTATTGGAGACAGAGTGGGTGAGAAATCCAAACTGAACAGCTTCCATTATTCACCAGGTCACTCAGCTCACTATATTTTGTTTCTACTCCAGGTCCAGCTTACTGTGCCAGGCATTTATTTGTCTCCTGAAATCTGGCTCCAGTGTCCATTTCTACTGCTCACCCATATGCCCACCAAGGGATCTATTGGTGTGTTTTGTGATTGCTCATCTGTACACTATTCCATCCAGACGCAGGTCCTTATGTTCCAGAGTTCCTTTTGCCTGGAATGCCTTTCTCTTCCTTTTCCCCCCAAATTTTAAAATTGTACTTTATCCGGGAAACCTCAGCTATTCTAGTCCCAACAGATGTTCTTCTGAATTCCAGTACCTCTGGGTTGTATCTCATAGTTGGGTACTGAATAATAGGCCCGCCCACCAGAATTTTTGTGCTTTTATTTCATATATCTTATAAGTCCCCAAACTTAAAGACAGGTCCTCAAGGGCAAGGATGGTGCTTATTACTTTTAAATAGTCCTCATTGACTACTCTGTGACTATGTGCATAGTAGGTCCTGGATAATTATTTGCTGATTAACTGATAACTTTTGTGGGAAGCTCTGATAATTGAAAGTTGGTTAGAGAGGAGATTGAAAGCTTTTGGCCAATAGGTTCATCCTTGGATATCGGCCTTATTATCTCAGTACATCTCAGTACGGGTAATTGACCCTATGGAATGCTTTGAGGTAGGGGGAGAAGGGGGAAAGTAGTCTTGTTTTACAAGTTCCCTGAGAAACCCAGGGCCAGAGAAGCCCAGTGACTGGCCTAGGATCACATGTCAAACCTCCAGAGACTGGAGGAATCCTGAATCTGAGGCTTGTTCCACACTTAACCTCATGAAGCTTAATTGGGGCTGTTTTTAAGCATTAAACATTTTCAGCCAAGAGATTTTTAATGAACAATTTTCTTTCTTTGCCATGAGGGTATGAAAATAACTTCTGCCTTGAAAGGCTATTAATTAAAAGCGTGGGCTTTGAAGTAACAGAGACTTTGCTGTGAATCTACTTCATAAACTGTGTGACCTTGAATGTGTCACATTTGTTCAGAAATAATTTTTCTGTTTTTGTAAAGGGAGAAATAGTATTTATGTCTCATGGAGTTATTGTGAAGATCAAATAAGACAATATGTATAAAGCACCTAGTCAAGTTTTTCTGATGCAGAGGAAGTACTCAGGAAATGGTAGTTACTGTTTTCATTGGTATTCGTTTATTGCCCTGTTGTACCCCATGACTCTACTAGGATACTAATATCGCTTATTTTAGGGCCTTCGATATTTATCATCTGAAGCAGATTATGTGGGACCATTCCCATGAGAAAATTAGGGTGAACTTATCAGGTCAGCATCTTGCTTCTACCTAAACTATCTCCTCATAATAAGATACAGGGTTTGGCATTCCCTCTTCTAGATTTCAGCAAGACCTACCTCAGTCCTCTTTTTTATACACACCCTGAGGCATCTGGATGCCTTAGGGGTTTGGAATCATGAACTGAATACATCTTTTTTCAGGCTAGAATCTTAAGGAGAACCTGTGATTGTACAAGCACCTTTGTTGTATCCTGCAAACTCTCCAGCTCCACTGGACCTTCTGAAGCTGTTTCCCATCACTCTCTGTGAAGAATCACTGTGGCTTGGTCTGTCAGAGGAAGATGATTCTGCTTTCCATTTTGTAAAGGAAAAGGCTCTGTTACTATAGTGATAGCATGTGTGTGTGTACATGTGTGTGCGTATAGCAGATAGACATTGAAAATGGCAGTCACTCTTGCTATAGGGATTTTATTTCAGTTCTGGAAATTAGACTTGTGGATGCCTAAAAATGAATTTCTGGCTTAAGTGAGGTACCTAGAATAGTCAGATTCATAGAGACAGAAAGTAGAATGGTGGTTGCCAGTGACTGGGAAGAGGAAGGAATGGTGAGTTATTTAATGGTGAGTTTCAGTTTGGGAAAATGAAAATGTTCTGGAGAAGGATGGTGGTGATGGTTGCACAACAACATACATGAACTTAGTGTTGCTAAGTTGCTTAGTGTTGAAATGTACAGTTAAAGATGGTTAAAATAGTAAGTTTCATGTTACATATATTTTGCCACAATGCAAAAATTTTTTTCAGGCCTAATCTCTGGCATATCTGGAAGAGTTGCAGAGAACCACAACGCTTGGAAGAAACATCATAAAAAGGGGAAGTTGGTTGTCCATTTTTCTTAAAATTGTGGTTTACTTCATCAGAAGCATCTGGATGCCCCTGCTTGAGGTGGGCCCCACATACCCAAGATTGTGCCATGAATTTGTGTGAACAGTCCTCAGAGGGAGAATGGCTTGTCCTTACCGAGGAAAGCCTGCTCCTGGACCTTGAGGAGCTTTGAAACTGGGAGAAGCTTATCTTTTTGCCCTTGATCCAGGAACAGATAGATCGTATTTTCTAAGAAGACATGACTTAGGGAGCTGCTGCTCTCTAAATGGCGAGTTTTGCGATGCTAGGTAGAATGCTGTCAAGATCCAGGGAAGAGCAAGAGTTGAGTGCAGTGCTTTAGCCTTTTCTCTCTTCCCACAGCACATGGCTGAGTCTCTCCCACCCTGGAAGTAATGGGTAGAAATGTTTTTAGAAATTCCTGGGCATCACTGCTGTTTGAAGCAGATGTGCATTTCATCCATGATAGTTGAAATCAAATTTTCCATTTTGGAAATACTTTTTGGCTAAGTAAGGTTTTCAACTGCAAAGAAAAACAAAGTGAAAGAAACCAGTTCATTTCCCCATACCCAGATTTGGATTTTTAGGATCTTGCTTGCTAGGTTTTCGATTGTTATTCCAGATCCAGACAAGAACATTTTTGGATTTCTAAAGCAAGTTCTTTATTTGATGAAATTTGCCATTGTAGAACTGACCTATTTTTTTTCAATTGCTAGATGAACCCTAAAACTAGGTTAGACTGAAAAGAGCATGAATAAACTATATAAAAAATAACTTGAACATTCTTTGTTCTCAGATTTTTTTT